GCAAAGTCTTCGACAGAGTCCTCCACGAAATATTAATACGATAAGTGGAGGCTCGTGGAATTGGAGGAGATATTCTAAAATGGATTAGGGCATGGTTACAGGACAGGAAACAGCGAGTAGGCATTAAAAGCACTAAATCCGATTGGGGTAACGTCACTAGTGGAGTACCCCAAGGCTCAGTACTTGGACCATTACTTTTTATTATATACATAAACGACATACTGTAGATATAGGCACAGACAGCAACATGAGTAAATTTGTTGATGACACTAAAATAGGGCGCGTAATTAAATCTGACGAGGACTCCTCAAAACTACAGGAAGATCTAACCAAATTTTTCACATGGTCTGAAAAATGGCAGATGAAATTTAATGTTTCTGATGAACAACGTTGTTATAGAAAAATTCGACGGTGAGGAAGATTTAGGTGTAATGATAAGTAGGAATCTTAAACCAAGTCAACATGTGTATTTGCTCGAAACAAGGCTAACAAAGTACTTGGTTTTATACAAAGGCGTGTTAGTTACAAGACTAGCGAGGTTATCCTAAAACTATATCTTGCGCTTGTGAGACCTCACTTGGATTACGCAGTCCAGTTTTGGTCACCGTACTACAGACTGGCTATAGAATCCCTAGAAAGAATTCAGAGGAGAATGACAAGACTAATCCTGGGCATTAGGAACCCTGAGTACGGAGACAGGTTAAAGCATCTTAATTTGCATTTCGGCGTGAGACGTAGAGTGAGGGGCGATATGATCGAGGTGTACAAATAGAAGTTAGAGATAAACATAGGTGATATAACAATGGTACTCAAACTATCCAACCAGGAGGGAACTCGTAACAATGGTTTTAAATTAGACAAATTTAGATTTAGGCTTGGAATAGGTAAACATTTGTTTGGAAAGAGAGTAGTGGACGAGTGGAACAAGTTTCCAAATATAATCATTAACTCGAATATGCTGGATAGTTTCAAACATAGGTTACATGGATATATGAGCGATGGGGGTTGGGTGTGAACGGGACCGCCCAGTATGGGCCAATAGGCTCCCTGCAGTTTCCTCCATTCTTATTGTCTTATGTTCTCCTCCTCCTCGCCCTCCTTACCTCTACCCCATTCCTACTCAACAGCCTTAATTTTGCTCCTACCCTTACTACCACCCCTCACTCTAACCCTACTACCACCCCTCACTCTAACCCTACTACCACCCCTCACTCTAACCCTACTACCACCCCTCACTCTAACCCTACTACCACCCCTCACTCTAACCCTACTACCACCCCTCACTCTAACCCTAGTACCACCCCTCACTCTAACCCTACTACCACCCCTCACTCTAACCCTACTACCACCCTTCACTCTAACCCTACTACCACCCTCACTCTAACCCTACTGCCACCTCTACTACCTCTCTAACCCTACTACCACCCCTCACCTACGCCCTCACTCTAACCCTACTACCAACCCTTCATTCTAACCTTACTACCAACCCTTCACTTAACCCACTAACACCCTCACTTAACCCTAGTACCACCCTCGCTCTAACCCTTACTACCCACTCACCAATACTGCCACCGCTCACTAACCTACTAACCCTACTACCACCTCTAACCCTACTACACCCCTCACTTAACCCTACTACTACTCTCGCTCTAACCCTACCTACTAACCCTCTCACTTTTAAACTTGCTACCACCCTCACTACTACCACTCCTCACTCTAACCCTACTACCACCCTCACTCTTAACCCTACTACCACCCTCACTCCAACCCTACTACCACCCACTCCCTCACTCCACCTCACTCTAACCCTACTACCACCCCCTCTAACCCTACTACCACACCCTCACTCTAACCCTACTACAACCCCTCACTCTAACCTACTACCACCTCACTTAACCCTACCACCCTCTAACCCTACTACCACCTCACTCTAACCTACTACTACCCCTACTACTCTAACTTACCCACCCCTCACTCTAACCTACTACCACCTCACTCTAACCACTACCTTCACTCTAACCCTACTACCACCTCTAACCCTACTCCACTCTCTAACCCTACTACCACCCAACTACCACCCCTCACTCCTACTACCACCCCCTCCTACCCTACTACCACCCCTCACTCTAACCCTACTACCACCCTCACTCTAACCTACTACACCCTCACTCTAACCCTCTACCACCTCACTAACTACCCCTCACTCAACCCTACTACCACCTCCAACCCTACTACCACCCCTCACTCCAACCCTACTACCACCCCTCACTCTAACCCTACTACCACCCTCACTCTAATCCCTACCACCCTCACTCTAATCCTACTACCACACTCACTCTAACCCTACTACTACCTCTCCTCTAACCCACCCTAATACCCACCTCTCAACCCTACTACCACCCTCACTCTAATCCTAATCCTACTACCACCTCCCCCTCTAACCCTACTACTACCTCCTCTCTAACCGTACTACCACCCCTCTAACCCTACTACCACCCCTCACTCTAACCCTACTACCACCCCTCTAACCCTACTACCACCCCTCACTCTAACCCTACTACCACCCCTCACCCTACCCATACTCTTTCATCACCACCACCACCGCCACCCCAACCACCGTCACCCGGCCCTAACCATCACCCCCCCAAGACCCTCCTCCCTCGGCCACGGGATATCCGAGAAATTAATGAGTTCCGTTCATATTTTCAAGCACAAGCCTGCTATGTCATTACTGCTAAGCCAATTTCTATTTCCCACTTGGAGGTCTGGATTATAGGTATGAGCAGCGAGGTAATGTTGACGGATGGCTTCTTCTTCGTCATGACGCCCACAGCCAGATAAAGGCACCATGTTGCTTCCTTCCTTTGTGTACATCATATAACTAATTCTGTGAAAGAGAAAAAATAAATTAGGAAATATTTATATGAAAAATTAACGTTGGTACATATCATTATATATTACAGTAGCGTAATTTGTATCCTGTTATTAAATGTCTTGATGTTATAGAAGATATGAGATTTGTTATCTTGACGGTGTTAAGTAAAAAAAAAAAGTATTTTATATATTGTACAAAAATAGTGCTTTCGTTGATCCTATAGCCCGTGGAATAGTAGAATGTTCTCAGTGCTGTTACAAGTTGTGTCTTAAGTGATAGACAAATACAATAATTCATCTAAGTCATATGAATGAAAGTGTGTTGGAGAGAAGCATGAATAAATATCGACTGAACCAAGAGACGTTATTAACTCTGATGAAGAACCGAACAAAGGGAGACACTATATAACTCATACAAAGAACAGGGGATAAAACAGAAACGCGAAAGAACTACAAAAATAAAGAATAGAATGGATTCATAATAAAAAATGAAGTCTTGTGTGAATGGATAATAATAGAAGTGAAATAAAGGGTAATGATAAGGTCGAATAAGAAGGAAGAAGACGAATAATGACAAAAAATAACACCATGGGAATAAAAGAGAAGAATGAGAAACAGATAATGAGGGATAACCAATGTAAAGATTAAAGAGGAAAAGAGAGAGGTTGGAGAAGGTGAATGATTGTAGCGAGGAATAACAGAGAGAAAAAACAAAAACATGCGAGACGGATAAAGAAAAAGAGGAATGAAATAGGAAAACAAAGACAAGGCGAGATGGAATAAAAAGTGTTTAGGAGGAAGAAGAAAAAGAAGAAGATGGTAGATAGTAGATGAAGGAATAAGAGATAAGGAGAAAGGAATAGATAAAAGTGGAATAAGAAGAGGGTGTGATAATGGGGACAATATATGATTGAAGAAAGATGTGTAAAGAAGGAGGCGGAGGATTATATCAGGAGGAACAGAAGATACAAAGAAGAAGAAAACAATGAAAGATATACAAAGGAAGGAGTGTCAACTAGGAGGATAGGAAGAAGAAATAAGACAAGCGAAGTATATCCGATGAAACAAAGGATTAGTTTTTATCAAAGAGAAATAAGAAGTGGAGACAATGTTACAACCTGTATATATTGTGTTATTATCCAGGGATTAAATTCAGGGGAGGATGATAATGTTTTCTGAAAACACGGGAGTTGTGACGCGACCCTTGACGAACACTGAAGAGATTTGTAATATATTTGTAGGTGTTAACGTACAGTATCGTGGTGAAAATAATGGCTTCTCACATTTATATTCGTCATTATCATAAATTGTGAAAAAAAAAAATATTAGTACGAGTCGTAACATTAAAACTCATGTGTCGACATATTCATTGTTGATAGTCTTCTTGAGTGAGTGAGTGAGTGTAAGTGAGTGAGTGAGTGAATGAAGAACAACGTACTGATTGGTACCTGACCATCCATCCGTCCGTACTTCCGTTTCCCCCAAGTTTGTTTCAGTGATAACCAAAAAATAATAATAACTACAGATAAATTAATTTTTTGATATGGGTTATTAGTTGACCTGATTACAATTTCAAGCTCTTGATTGATATTTGTATTTGTTGTATTATTCCTTATTTATGAACTCTGGGATCATGTGAGCTTTACAAACAAAGCTCTTTTTTCATCCATTGCTGAAAATTTAACTTGATGTTAAAATAAACCCCACATGGTGAGTACAGGAGTCATCATAAACTCGTAACTTAGTGTTGTACTCAGTGTGTGTGTGTGTGGGTGTACTCAGTGTGTGTGTGTGTGTGTGTGTGTGTACTCAGTGTTATTGTTGATGAACGAGGTGTACAGTGCCCAAACTAACGTTAATTAGATCATTATGCACACTATTACTCTGCCTAAATACACAAAACAACTCCTTCAAGACAAAGGCGAGACTGAACTCAAGAGGATTTATTTGCTATGACTTCCCTTATTCAAAACTCAGTGCCCGTATCTTATGTACTCTGCAAAACCTCCTGTCTCTAGGTGACTGGTTCGCACCAAAGGAACTTAAAGTGACTGTCCTGCAGCTTCCTGTCACTAGGTATACCAGACTTTAGAATTAGGGAAGTGAAGGGAAGGTTAATTTATACAATGTGCTATATCTTCACCACCGGTAACAGAACCTGCACCACCGGGAACAGAACCCGCACCACCGGTAACAGAACCCGCACCACCGGTAACAGAACCTGCACCACCGGTAACAGAACCGCACCACCGGTAACAGAACCCACCACCACCACCGGTAACAGAACCTGCACCACCGGTAACAGACCGGTAACAGAACCCGCACCACCGGTAACAGAACCCGCACCACCGGTAACAGAACCTGCACCACCGGTAACAGAACCTGCACCACCGGTAACAGAACCCGCACCGGTAACAGAACGGTAACAGAACCTGCACCACCGGTAACAGAACCTGCTGCAGAACCCACCACCGGTAACAGAACCCACCACCGGTAACAGAACCTCACCACCGGTAACAGAACCACACCACCGGTAACAGGAACCGCAGGTCACACCACCGGTAACAGAACCCACCACCGGTAACAGAACCTTGCACCTGCACCGCACCACCCCCACCACCGGTAACAGAACCCGCACCACCGGTAACAGAACCCGCACCACCGGTGACAGAACCCGCACCACCGGTAACAGAACCCGCACCACCGGTAACAGAACCTAACAGAACCACCGGTAACAGAACCCGCACCGGTAACAGAACCCGCACCACCGGTAACAGAACCCGCACCACCGGAACGGTAACTGAACCCGCACCACCGGTAACAGAACCTACCACCGGTAACAGAACCTGCACCACCGGTAACAGAACCCGCACCACCGGTAATAACAGAACCACCCGGTAACAGAACCTGCACCACCGGTAACAGAACCTGCACCACCGGTAACAGAACCCGCACCACCGGTAACAGAACCCGCACCACCGGTACCACCGGTAACAGAACCCGCACCACCGGTAACAGAACCCGCACCACCGGTAACAGAACCTGCACCGGTAACAGAATAACCCTGCAACCACCGGTAACAGAACCTGCACCACCGGTAACAGAACCTGCACCACCGGTAACAGAACCCGCACCATCTATAATCTGAATTCTAAGCTAAATTCCCTAATAAAACTGTCCTCGTCTCTCCTTTTTGTGATAGTTATAATATTTATTTTTTTCTGGCAAAATTCTAATAAGATTCATCATTTCTTACTCTTGAGTTAATAAACCATCACCCCTAATCTATTTAAGCTTTCTATTATACATCTTGTTACAGCGAACGATTATAATACCCCTTTCCCTTTCCCCTTTTCCCTTACCTTCCCCCTCCTCTAACCTTCCCCTACCCTTATCTTACCCCCTTCCCCTCCTCTAACCTTGCCCCTTTTCCCTTATCTTACCCCTCCCTTTCCCTTCCTCTCTCCCCTTACCTCTTCCCCATCCCCTTACTTCCTCCTCCCCTTTCCCCTTACCCCTTACCTCACATCTCTCCCTACCTCCCCCTTTACATTTTATGTAGTAAGGGGAGGAACATCATTAGATTTGTAAAATTTCTCTAAGCAGCGCCAAGGACATCTGGGTCACACACTGCACTACACAACACTATCATCGTCCCCGTCACCGAAAAAAGTTAATTGTCAGACGTCATGAGAAGTGGAATAATTGGTAAAATAATTTATAATATATAATCACAGTCATTATTAGATAGACGGGTGCAAGGAAATAATGTGGCTGGTCTGATAATAATTGTAAGTATAGAGCTTTTTTTTCACTTTAATAGGGTAATGAAAATCGAATATTTTCGCAGCATATATATATATATATATATATATATATATATATATATATATATATATATATATATATATATATATATATATATATATATATATATATATATATATATATATATACTGGCTGCGAAAATATTCTATTTTCATTACCCTATTAAAGTAAAAAGAAAAGAAAAGCTCTATACCGTATATAAGCTACACTTATCTGGACTTTACCATAACAGAAGAAATCGTGGGGATAAGCGACCCGGATGTCTAACAATGATTAATAGGGATGAAATGGCATTTTTTTTTTCGATTACAGATATTTCCTACCAATAAAGTAGTTTTTGTAAGTATATAGCACTGAAAATTTATATTATCAAAAGTGTCATAAAACTTAGTTCAACTTCTCACGTAAGAATTATATATCATTACATATATTTACATCTGTATGTTACTCTCCGGAGATTTATAGCTGCTCAACCCCGCGTGGTGACTTGCCAGGTGTCCAAGTAATTTGAGACATCTGAAGCGCTCGCGAAAAGTGAACGTATGTACACTGTCTGTCTGTCTGTCTTTCTCTCTTTTTAGCATGACGAGAAAGGGACTGTTTGGCCGTTTAAAATTATCTTTGAAATATCGAGTTCACAAAAGACAAATTCCTGTTTGAAATGACTTATTAAAAAAGTCCATTATAGGTAGAACTCAGAGCGTAATAACGAAAAACACCTGTGTTAAAAGACAACTTAAGACTCATTGTTTTCGATTTTATTAGCAGTACTTTCCTTGACGTAAATAAAAGCTTGATTTCGTTCTTCCTTACACAGTTTTTCTTTAAAACGGTGACTGCACTATTTTTCTAGCACTCCACATAAGCCGTGGCATTATTAAAGATACTCCTTAACAATTTACATCACTGCCCATGGTGGTGTGCGGGCGTGCGTGCGTGCGTGCGCGCGCATGTATTAAGTGTTGGTGTATAAATTTTCAATATATGTGCACGAGTCGAAAATCAATGATATAAGATAATAAACTAGTGTAGTCGTCAGGCGCCAAAAGTTAGTGTTGTAGATATAATGAATGAAACGGGTGGAACGCTCAAGAGTGGGGGACTCTAATTGGAAGGACCTGGGCCACAACAGCATCGCTGAGGACAATTGGTGATTAGTGAGAAAAGACAACCTCAAGTGAATCTTCATCCTCTTTTAGTTTTAAATAAGCTGGAAGATCACTGACTCGCGCGAAATATAAGTTCTATTTTGTTATCAAGTAGTATTTAGAGCTGGCTGTTAATAATTTAGGAGTTCTTGGGTGTTAGGAAGTTTTTCATGAAATGGAACCCAATAAGGGATACAAATGGAGACGTATGAAAATTTTGGGCTATAAGAGAATAAATAACAAGAGCCTTAAGTCAACAACTCACTCCATTGTACCCACGTCAGGAGCTTCAGACAGAAGACACAAAAACTCGAAATCAATCTGAAATGATCACAGAAATGTAGGAACTTCTATCAGGAGTGAAGAAAACCGCGAACTAGATCTGATAATTATTGAAGACAGAATTATGAAGCAGATGGCTCAGCTGAAAGGCCAGGAAGGACTATACAGGCAGGGTCACATACAGGTGGTGGTTCAGGATAGCACAGACACCAGCTTATCTGTCCCAAAAGAGAATCCTGTCTTGAGAATTTAGTCAACGGTTACACCAGTAAGAGAAACACTAATAAATGAAACATCAACAGTAAATTAAACATCAGTGTAAGATACGTGAACTGTAACGACAGCAGCAAAGTTTACGTCACAAGTAACAATACCATTGGTGGTAAGGTAACAACAGTAGCCTTCCACGGAAAATAAGAACATAAGAAAGTAAGAATGGAGGAAATTGCAGCGGGCCTAAAGGCCCATACTGAGCAGTCCCATTTATACCCAACCCCTATTGCTCATATATCCATCCAACCTAAGTTTGAAGCTATCCGGCGTATTCGAGTTTATGATGATATTTGGTAACTTGTTCCACTCGCCCACTACTCTGATTCCAAACAAATGTTTACCTATTTCGCGCCTAAATCTAAAGTTGTCAAATTTAAAACCATTGTTTCGAGTTTGCTTCTGGTGGGATAGTTTAAGTACCTTTGTAATGTCCCCTTTGTTCAGCCCTGACTTCCATTTATACACCTCTATCATATCGCCTTCACTCTACCTCTCTCGAGGGAGTGCAAATTAAGATGCTTTAACCTGTCTCTGTACTCAAGGTTCCTAATGCCCAGGATAAGTCTTGTCATTCTCCTCTGAATTCCTTCTAAGGATTCTATATCCATTCTGTAATACGGTGACCAGAATTGAACAGCGTAATCCAAGTGAGGTCTCACAAGCGCAATATATAGTTTTAGGATGACCTCGCCTTTATTAGCCTTGTTTCGAGCAAATACACATTGTTTACTTGGCTTAAGATTCCTACTGTCATTACTCCTAAACCTTTCTCGCAGTCGGATTTCTCAATAACATCGTTGTTCATCGTTGTTCCCTGTTTACATCTCGTATACTGAGTACTTTACATTTGTCCACATTGAATTTCATCTGGCATTTTTCAGAACATTCGAAAAATTTGTTTAAATCTTCTTGTAGTTTTGCGGAGTCCTCGTCAGATTTAATTACACGCCCTATTTTAGTGTCATCAGCAAATTTACTTATGTTGCTGTCTACTCCGATATCTATGTCGTTTATGTATATAATAAATAATAATGGTCCAAGTACTGAGCCTTGGGGAACTCCACCAGTTACGTTGCTCCAATCGGATTTATTGCCGTTAATGCTCACTCGCTATTTCCTGTCCTGTAACCACGCCTTAATCCATTTTATAATATCTCCTGTTATGCCATGAGCCTCCACTTTTCTAATTAGTCTTTCGTGGAGGACTCTGTCGAAGGCTTTGCTAAAGTCGAGATATACCACATCATAATTGTGCCCCTCATCCACTGATTCGAAAACAGATGAAGAGAATGTTAATAGATTAGTTAGACATGAACGCCCTCTTGTGAAGCCATGTTGGGAATCATTGATCAACTTGTGCTTCTCCATGTGATTTGGAATAGAGTTTGAAATGATTGCTTCCAGTAATTTGCCTACAATTGTTGTTAGATTGATTGGACGTTAGTTAGAGGATAGTGATCTATCTCCCTTCTTGAAAATTGGTATTACATTCGCTATCCTCCAGGATTCTGGTATTACACTCGTTTTTAAGGACATGTTAAACAACTTTGCTAAGGGCATACTAAGCTCTTCCTTACATTCCTTTAATACTCTAGCAAATATCTCATCGGGACCCGTAAGATCAATCCAATCTATTTGACTAAAGGTAAAGTCGCCTAAAAATTGTATCAGAGCAAAAAATAAAGAACCTAACAACATCGGCAGCATGGAACGGAATAACATTAATAGGAGCCGCTGGCAAAGATCTACGGAAACGGAAGGAAAGGCATCAGCTGTAACAGATGGAACCCAAACAACAGACGAGGGCAGCTTAGTAATAAGAATGTCAGCCAGTCCACTGCCACACCCCTAACGCTGAAGCAAGGTGATCTAGGGATAAGAAATTCAATCTCAGGTAGCCAAGTGAAAAGTGTTAGGGCGGTACGTGCGTGTGCGTGTGTGTGTGTGGGGGGGGTTGGTACTTAGGTGGGGAAGAGAGTGAGGGTGGGAATGGGTGGGTGGAACGGGTTCTAAGATCATCTGGATAAGCCCTTTACCAACTGGTTATCGGAGTCATCGCCTGGACAAGCGACCACTTGACTGAAACTTACGCAAAAGATCTCTTGGAGTATCGTCCTAAAAGTGTGTTCGAGAAAGCACTCTGCCGTTCTGCAGTCATCTATCTGCTGTTGACATGATAATTGGATAATTTATGTACCCCCTATCTCCAGAATATCACCTGATAAATCCGACAACCTTTGAATACGCTAATGAAATTAAATAAAAAGTCTCCTCTTCACTTAACTTAAGGCTTTTGGGTATAGATAACCCAGCTCTCACTCCTTCATTTCACAAGAGATCCCTTGCGTGCATATCCTCTTGGGAGATCTTGGCCGAGAATCACTTTACTGCCACTTGGTTGGACATGCAAACTGCAGAGTCCGGGAAATCTTAGGGTTAAGTATACGGTTTCTGTAAGGTAATTGCGGAGTCCCGCCGTCGTGAGCACAGTTACTCAGGTGGGTGCTCGGGCGTCGTGGTGGTGCGGGGCC